CCACACGCTACACACGGGGATTCGAACCCGTGACTCGAGGGGACTTATGACCTCAAAAAGATCATTCTACCAAGAGGCCACGGTATACGCGCACCCACTCTCTCACACACACACACACACATATATGTCACTATATATGTCACATTCTTTGTGCTCGAAAGTGTATTTCACTCTTTAAAAGTTAAAATAATAATTTACAGATGTGATTTAAAAGATTTGGATGGTATAAATGTGAAAAGCAAATTTTGATTGTTAGATATGCAAATACATAAGAATTTGGGGTTATTTAAGTAAATACCCCTTTATATTATATATTCAATGTCCAACACCTATCATATCCTATATTTTCAATAATAGAAGAATCATGCATCTATATCATGTTGTATCATACGTGCATCATAGATGTGAGTTAATTTAAGATAAATAGATAACATATAAATAATTGTTGCATCTAAAAAACTTCTCCATTGTAGAAAAACCAATTTTTTCCGTGAAAAAGCCCTCAAATGAGAAAAATCACACAATTTATTCTAGTCAAAGAAATTCATTAGAAACAATCAATTTTCAAAGTGGATTACTATGATTAAGCCATTTCCTTGATTTTTTCAGTCCAGGGTGTTTTCACGTAAAAGTTATGGTTGTCTATAACATTTCTAACTCATGTGCGTTGCACAGAATTATATTGAATGAACGCTTAAGATTTTTCACTTGTTGAAAATTTTCTAGCATGCAACAATTTATCACTTTCCATAACAACTACATTTTAGTATCAAAATTTCAAATTTAAGTTCAAGTTCATTCGAGCCTCAATTTTAATAAATTTATAGTCAAACTAGGCATCTCGAGAAAATGAGCTCAATGAAGTCGAAAGTGATCCAACTCGAATCCAATAAACTCGAATCAAATTTTTTAAGTGTTATCAAAGATTTTAGTGCATCAATTGGAAGGTTAAATGATCTCCAAAATTTGGCATGCTTATAATCGAATCGAGCGACTTGAATAGAGGAATCTAATGAGTGTAAGATCATTATATTTGAGTTTTTTAAGGCACTTAATTAATGTGGATCATCTGATAGGGTGTTATAAGATTCTAGTTAAATTTACCAAAAGGCTTATCTAAAAAATTATAAATAGAGCCTCACTTTTAACTTAAATTGAGAGTGAGAAGTAGAAGAAAAGAGTGGGCAAACTAACCAAAATTGCCACTTGAAGCCCCATTGTTTTTTTTTTCAGTCACTCGAGATCCACAACCGGTCATTAAAGTTTGCTTCATGCTACCAAAGATCACAGTTGACTACCAAAGAGTATTCTCAACCACCGGTGATTGTCACTAACCATGAGAGTTAACTGTCAACCACCAATCATTATCAATCTCCAACAACAATTATTGCAGCCAATTACGATTATTGTAGCCATCAATTATAATATTTGTTGTAACACTGTCAACTTTTATAGTCAACTATAGATTTTGCAGCTAATTATGATTTTTATAGCACATTTACGACTTTTGTAGCCAACTAATATTACTGTAGTCGCCAACTATTGGTACTATAGCCAACATTATGGTTATTATAGCCAGACTACTATTATACTTCCGTGATTGTTAATTTTTATAATCTTATATTTCTTAATTCAGAAAAAGAATGGAACACTTCACTTTCAATTTTCTACTGATTTATTTTGATAGGAATAAGACCAATGGCTTTATTTTCTTTTCCTCTATTTTCATAGGTAAAAAAAATCTAGTTTTCTTTTGTAATTCAATCTATGCGTGATGAAAAATTACCTTAAGCTAAAGCTTGAAAATTTTTTCGTCAATGAGAATTTTCTAATATACAACAAGAATGAAATTAATCATCTTCTCTTGTCACAATTTTGGTGCTACTTTATTATTAGTATTTTTGCATATTACATTCATACAAGCAAGTTATCAAACTTATGTTGCTTTACTAAACCCAAAGTTATAGATAATAGAGATTAAAATTTTTAATTTAGTCTAATTAAAATATATTGTTATTATTTTTGAATTATGAATGATCCTGAGAAAAGCTTAGAGATAATAATTTAGAATTGATTGTAACCCCAAAATATCACAGTCAATGCTGGTGCATTCTCGGTATGATGAATGTTGTGACTCAACTGATTAAGAATTCTCAATCTTAAGCGAGTCGCAGTAGAAGAGCATTAATGGATAAGTACTTGAAGAACTTTCAAGATATGAGACCACATTTATTTTCTGGAGCAGGACGACCAATGAAAGCTTACACATACTATTGAAAGTGGAGAAGATTATAAATGGGTTATTATGTCCATCAGAGAGAAGAGTTACCCTAGCCACTTTTGCTTTTGAGGGGAAAGCTAAAAGATGGTGGGAAGGTCAAATGCAGGAGAAGTTTGGAGGTAGAATAGCCACTTGCTGCAGTTGGACGAGCTTGTGAAGACCTTCAGAGATTGTTTTGTATGTACCGTCGTTGGATAGAAGATAAATGTAAGATAAATTCATTAGGTTTGTGTAAGGAGAATGATCGGCTATGCAGTACGAAGTGGAGTTCATTATGTTATTTAGATATGCATTGCAGCTTTTTCCAAACGCAGAAGAGAAATGTCATATATTTATTTCTTCTTTCTAGATTGAAAGATTCAATTAGACAGCCACTAGTGACACTTGGGATTGAAAACTATTAAGTACTAGTAGAGGGGTTAAGCGAGTAGAGATTAATTTCTAACAACCCGGATGTGTAAAGACATGCATAAGATGAAAAGTTCATAAGAAATGACACCAACAATTCATTCAAGAGAAGGAGAGTATGTTGGGAAGAAGATACAATCCTACACTGGTAGAGTTGTTAGCCAGACTGACATTAGCACTATATAGGTATGTGTTAAATGTGGGAAGCAGCATCGTGGTGAATTTTTACATGAGTTGAAGGTGTGTTACTTATATAGACAGCCTGGGCATCTTAAGAGAAAGTGCTCTAATGTTATTCAGAGATCCACATCAGATGCTCACCCAATAAGAATTGTAGCTCAAAGGAATATTCATGGAGGATCTACTTCCAAAAGTGATCATTAACCAGGGTTGTACATTAGCCCAATAGTTTATTCCTTGACTCACGGGAACTAGAAGAGCATATTGTCACTGTGTCGATGCATAGTTTAAGGGATGAATTGTCTTTTGGGTTTTATGTTGGATTTATTAGATACATAGTTCATCACGTTTGTTTCACTTACCACTTCACAAGAAACAAATATTTCCAATCACTTCATGCTTCAACCTTATAAAATAGTTGATGTGGAGTTCATGAATTTCGAGGATGAAATTTTAAAAGGAGGGGAGATTGTAATATCCAATTTTTGAGAGTTGATAATTTTTTACGACTAAAAATATACCCCAAATTTTTTATCCCTAAGATTTCAATCAAAATAATTTTATAAAATTATACGTGTCAATATTATATATAAATTTTGAATAAATTAGAAGATATAAACTTAATAGTAATAAGTTTAATTAACTTAATTAAACCCTTAATTATCCATAATTACACACTGTTACTATAGCCACCACCTTACTCACACGATATTAAGCTTTGGGTCTCAGTTGAAGGGTTGGGATCCTTATTCCAAAGCTTCAAAACATATCCCCGTTCCTCACGAGAAATATTTGCATACTTAAAACATACGCAGAGCTGCGTACGTCTGGTGGGTTACGGGGAGGGTATTGGGGTTATGTCTGCGTTATACCCATATAGCCTTCCTGTAACATTCATGTAAACTAACTGTAACTATCAAGTTTCGCGTTTCTATTTTTATATATTTATAAGTTACATATAGATTACAAGTAGACTCAAATATTTAGCTTCCTCGCAATTAAGTGTCACATTCCTCTCCCACTTCGAGAAATATTTGATGTCTTGTAGGTTAAAATGAGCGGGTATTATGCGTGTTATGCCCTGTAACCTGTACCTAGTAGCACAGAAAAATTTCTCTTGAATAAAGGAGGCAAATTTATTATAACATTCCTTCCTTCGTTGACCCTGCATTGTACCGCAGAGAAGATTTCGCAGAGAGATTTCGCAGAGAAGATTTCGCAGAGAGATTTCGCAGAGAAGAGCCTTGACCCTGCATTGTAGTACGTGGGTCGAGTGGCAATCAGGAAAGCCGCAGAGCACGACTCAGACTTCCGGGGAGAATTTTGTAAGTGATATTCTCTCTTTCAAGCAATTTCAGCATTCCCTTCCTTCGTTGCGTCGTTTTTCTTGGCCCTAGGGAACCCACGACTCCAACACTGTAGCCGAAGTCGAGATCGTGAGGAGCAGGCGGCTAGGTTTTTGGGTTCCGGGATGAAATCCGTGAGCGGTAAAAAAAATCACATTCTATTTCAAGAGAAATAAATCATAGATTAGCGGAAGCGTACCGGAGTCCATTACATCGATTGCACAAGGTATGATCTTCCAATCTGCAGATTTTCTAGAGTTTCTTTAGTTTCTTGTTGATGGGGTACAAATCAAATCGGGACCATTACCCTTTTAAGTAATTAACGGTTACAAAAAAAATTTACGATATGATCTTCCAATCTGCAGATTTTCCAGAGTTTCTTTAGTTTCTTATTGATGGGGTGCAAATCAAATCGGGGACCATTACCCTTTTTAAGTAATTAACGTTACAAAAAAAATTTACTTAATTCTAATTCTGCCCCTCATCAAATTAGAATTTGCACTTATGATATACACACTATAATATCATGATAAATGTACCCAAAGTCGTAAACTTAATTCTAAATTATTCCACAATAATTTTGACTTATTAAATGATGACCCAACACATTTATTAATTACATTGTAATCCCAAAATTAATCCAACACCTATTTCATTCTATTTGAGACATTTATTTCTTCTTGTTGCTTCCATTCTAACTAATGTGACGGATTGCACATCTTTATCATTTCTATTCTAGTAGCCGTGGCCGTCGGAAGCGTTGAACTTGCCTCGGAAGTGTTGAAAGTGTTTTGAGAGCTTCCGCGAGGATTTTAGCACACCATCAGCGAAGGAGAAAGGAGATTTGAGGCATTGGGAAGAACAGGGAAAAATTTTAGCAGCTTGGAGAAGTGGGGTTGCCGAGAAGCCGTTAAAGGTATGTTTTTACAAATTTGTTATATTTTTAAGTTAAATCACCTTATGAACTAAATATATTCTGAATTCCTAAGTCGTTTAAAATTTCAGGTTGTTTATTCGAAATTGGGAGTTCGAGACAAGTGTATGACAATGCACTTAGTACTTCCTTCCTCATGGAGAACCTGTGATTTAATGCTCTGCAATTATACCAAACTGATATAGGATTCCGAATTGTACAAATTATAACATTCCTTTGGCTCTACCTTTTTTTTTATCTTTTTAACAAATCTTATGTGATATAGAGTTCAATCTCAATGGATTACAACCATAAGAAAATAAAATCCACTTTGTCATTTAAAATGTCCAATCACATAATATCACATGCAAAAATTTCTTCAACATAATTCTCTAGATTTGTGTTTGCCGATTCCATTAAATTCACCAAAACTTTACATTCCATTTGTTTTCAGACTGATTAAGATACTTCTTAAATTAAATTTAATTGCTACAGAACATGGCTTAACATAGCATTTCCTTCTTAATTTATAAAGTGTTCAGTCTGGGATTCAAGTTTCTAACCACTTTCTGTACCACTCAAGTATATATCACTTTGCAATACCATAATAGAGTATCCTTCTCCTCATGCATATAATTCAGTACACAGCTTCTTGTCGTTTTCTTCTACTTTACTCTTACATTCTCCATGTAAAGATAATATCAAGTTTTGGTTTAGCTTTTATAGAATTATTGCATCTCTCATGTATCTTTTACTTCGTACGAGAGCTCATTCTGGCTGAAGAGATGGCCATACAAAATCAAGATCAAGTATCAACCTAGGTTTTATGTTTTCTTATCCAAAACCAGCTAAATGGAGAACTCAAGGTACTAGATTTTCTTATTTGATGAGAAATCTTCTCCCTACTCGTATCTCACCATTATACTTAGAGCTGTCAAAAAAATTAGTCTTTTGCGAACAATTTGCGTTCAGTTCGCTAAATAGCTCTTGTTTGATTCTTTCTTCAAGTAGGTGAGCCGAACAAAAATATATTTTTTAGTATAAATGTCAATAGAAGTCTGATCAAGCAGCTGTTTCAAGGGAAAAAAAAAAAAAAATTAAACTGGAAAGGCGCAATATAAATACTATAATCAATAAATTTTCAATTCCATATTTTGATGATGAATATTTAACCGAAGGCTTTTCAAAAGCACCTCCTTGAAGTTGCAGATGATTTTTTTGGAGCACGCATAATTGATTAAGGTACTGATTGTCTGTGAATCTTGGAGGTTGAATATGTAGATTGTGTCTTCAAGCATACCATGAAAAAAATTATTTAATAAGTTGAATTAATGGACATTACAATGTTGATGTAGAGTAACAATTAGAAGAAGCGGAATGGCTACAATCTTTGCTATTGGATTGAGAGGTTCATGATAGTTAATTTCATGTTTTTGATTAAAACTTTAAGCTACCAAGTATTCTTTATGATGTGCAATGAAAGCATCAAAGTTATAGATAGTTTAGAATGTTTGCGACAACTCAAGAATTCTTGATGAGATGGTGGAGTAACAAGCTTCCTGATTCTTTTTTGTTGTAGATCTTTCAATTTCTTGCAATTAGCTTGCTGCTAATGTTGATGTTTAACAACTTGACTATAAGAGGTGGGTTGAGTTATTAGTGAGATGATGCCCTCAATTTACAATATGTTTTGGATGTCGAATTATATATTATAACATTATTTGTATAGAATGATAACAACAAAATAAGGGTTGTGAGGAATTGTTGTGTCAAAAGAATGTAATGGGAGAGATTTGATTGAGGTGTTTGAATTATTGAGTGAGTTTTGATTGTGAAGTGGGGACGTCTAGAGCAAATTTTGAGGCAAGGGAAGAATGGGAGAAGGATATGAAAAGTTTTGATTGTGAAGTAGGTGAGCCGAGCAACAAGCGGCTAGGTTTTCGGGTTCCGGGATGAAATCGATAAGTGGTAATCTTTATTTCACGCTATTTGAGACATTTATTTTCCTCTTGCTTCCATTTTGACAAATGCGACGTATTACACATCTTTATCATTTCTAGTAGCCGTCGAAGGAGCTGAACTTGTGTCTAACTGTTTTGCGAGCTTCCGTGAGGATTTTAGCACACCATCAGTAAAGGAGAAAAGAGATTTTAGGCATTGGGAAGAACAGAGAATAAATTTTAACAGCTTGGAAAAGTGTTGGGTTGCTGAGAAACCGTTAAAGGTATGTTTCAACAAGTCAATTATATTTTTAAGTTAAATCAACTTATGAACAAAATATATTCTGAATTCCCAAGTCATTTAAAATTTCAGGTTGCTTATTTGAGATGGTGAGTTTGAGGCAAGTGTATGACAAAGCACTTGGTACTTCTTTCCTCATGGAGAACCTGTGCTTTAATGCTCTACAATTATACCAAACTGATATAGGATTCTGAAGTGTACAACTTATAACATTCCTTTGTCTCTACCTTTTTTTTTTCTCTTTTTAACAAATCTTATGTGATATAGGGTTCAATCTAGATGGATTACAACCAAAATAAAATAAAATCCACTGTCATTTAAAATGTTCAATCACATAATATGACATGCAAAAATTTCCTCATCATGATTCTCTGATTTATGTTTGTTGATTCCATCAAACTCACCAAAATTTTACAGTCAATTTGTTTTCAGACTGAGTAAGATTACCACTTATCGATTTCATCCCGGAACCCGAAAACCTAGCCGCTTGCTGCTCGGCTCACCTACTTCACAATCAAAACTCTTCATATCCTTTTCCCATTCTTCCCTTGCCTCAAAAATTGCTCTAGACGCCCCACTTCACAATCAAAACTCACTCAATAATTCAAACACCTCAATCAAATCTCTCTCGTTACATTCTTTTGTCACAACAATTCCTCACAGCCTTTATTTTGTTGTTGTCATTCCATGCAAATAAGGTTACAAAATAGCACTCGACGATCAAAAAATTATTGTAAAGTGAGGACATCATTTCGCTGATGACACTCAACCCCCCTCTTATGGTGAAGTTGTTAAAGATCAACATTGGCAGCAAGGTATGTCTAAGAAATTGAAAAATCTAGAGCAATAAAGAATCTAGAAGTTTGTTCGTTCACCATCTCATAAAAAATTCTCGAGGTTTCGCAAGACATTCTAAACTGTCTATAACTTTGATGTCTCCATTGCACATCATAAAGAATACTTGGAAGCTTAAAGATTTAATCAAAAATATGGCATAAGTAATCACGAACCTCTCAATCCAATACCAAAGATTGTAACCATTTCGCTTCTTCTAATTGTTTCTCTACATTACCATTGTAATGTCCATTAATTCAATTTATTAAACAGGTTTTCTTCATGGTAAACTTGTAGACACAATCTACATACTCAACCTCCAGGATTCACTAACAATCAACACTTAATCAATTATGTCTGCTTCAAAAAATCATCTGCAACTTCAAGGAGGTGTTTTTGAAAGCCTTCGATTAAATATTCACCATCAAAATATGAAATTGAAAATTTATTATTTATACTGCACCTTTCCAATTTAACTTTTTTTTTTGCCATTGAAACAACTGCTTGATCGGACATCTATTGACATTTATACTCAAAAATTTTAGAATTGATTTAATGAATTTTGTGCTTGAGACAAATCAAACCAACTATTGAATCCGTGAAATTTTAAAAGTGGATTAGTTTTAATATCATTTCAAACCTAGGGCACTGTTAATCACTATACAAAGTGAAATTCATGTAAATAAACACATGACATTACAATTTAAGTGAAACTCAAATTACTATGTCAACCAAAATTCGTTAAAAAATTTTAAAATATTAATTATTATTAACCTACTGAGATTATTGGACGGGTGTAAAGAGGTAATGGATTGGACCATAAAAGTTGAAGAAGATTTGCTTTGTTGATCAGATATCTTTTTATTATGATTTTTTCAGGTTAGTTGGACAGTGCAATAAGGCACTTACATATACAATATTCTGCTTGTCACATACGCGATCTTGACGTTGCCACCATTATTTGTATGTTATTTTTCTTAAAAAGTTGGTTGGGTGATTTCTTTCACTATGTGTATGTAAAGTTGAAGTAGAGCTATATAAATCATAGAGTCTCTTTCGTTATAATTTCTTATTTTCATCTATGTTTGATTTTTCACATCTTATTTTTAAGCACTTACATGTAACAAAGTGGTATTATCATGTAGTTTTAGATTGGTGTCTATGAAATTTGAAACCCATAAGTTTCATAATAAATTTTGGCTTTTAGTGAAGTAACATGTGAGATATGTATATAGGTAGGAACACAAAATATAATAAAAACTTTTTCTTATCTTCATACTCCAATACTGAATAGAAACTAGAATGCTTTTCATATTGGTCAAAACAAAAAGGAAGTATTCAATATGGTGAATTCGAATACTCTGCCAACCCAAAAGCACAAAAACATAGGAAAATAAACACATAAACTATATCATTTTATATGTTACTAGTTAAGTAGAAGACTGAACATATTGCTCAAGTACACTTGATAAAGATTAAATAAATCACTGATTATGAATCAATTTAGTTGCTTGTCTAAAATCTTAATCCACCCCATTTTTTTTCTCTCTTAGATGCAATTTATTATATCTTTTTATTTTATTTATTATTTTATTTATTATTTTATTTTATTTCATGCGTACTGTTAAGTTTAGTTTATGCTCACTGCAGGAAACATTGCGATAACCAATTGAAAATCAGTTGATATGCCTTTTCACTTAAAATCGGTTAATTATCGACTAAAATTTCAATTGTTAATTTTATCGACTGAAATTTCAAACAAAAAGTCGTCGCTTATCAATGTTAAATTTTTTTCCAGCGCTTTTAATCATTACCGACGCCTTATGCCGTTGGTTAAAGAAGGTATTAACTGACGGACATATTGTGTCGATTATCCATAAACCTGTCATTTGACGGGGTGCTAACCAACGTGTTTTTTTTTAATAAGAGTTGGTGTTATGCGTAGGTAATAATGTAAATTATTGGTCTAGCAATGGCTTATGTTTGGGTTATTTGCAACAGCACAACTACAAAATTTCTATGGCCTATTAACAATAATATTTTTTTTCGACAAACTTTTTTTATTATTACCGATGTCATAAGTCTTCTGTTATGAACGTATATTAATCGACAGTCACACATCATTGGTTATCTTCAAACCGTCATCTGGTAGGGAATTAACCGAAGTGTTTTTATGATAAACAACATAAATAGTCATCGATAAAAGTATTAGTAAATGACAGACTTTAAGTCATGTATAAGTCATAAAAAATAATCCATTGTACAGCCAAAATTGCGGTCCTCCCCCTTCTGGCCTAATCCTCTATCCTTTCGCTCCTCTCTAGTTGAAGCCCTCTCCTCTCCTTGAAACCCTCGCATGTCCCTCCAACCCTTCTCTATTTCGTCCAAAACCATCGCCTTCATCGCCGAACCCTTGCAATACAATCCGTAGGAGCTAGCTGAGAACGCAACGACGGGATCACAACTTACATAGACCAAAAACTCCCATATTTCGCCTTCTTCCACTCCTCTCCTACCCGGAACTATTGAGGAAGGTGACTCCTCTTTATTTACCATTGATCTCATTTTTGGTGAGGTTTGTTTCCCTCACTAGGGCCTGGGATCTAGCCACAGGACTTCCTTACTGACTCTCCTAGAAGAATAGTATTGGGACCCACAACACTTAGAAATTTGAGCGTTTCTTGATTCATTGTAGTCTCATATGTGTAGTTTCAAATCCTCGACATCTAGTTAAGTCGATTGGAACCAACATACTGAAACTCAAGTTGAGTTTTTATCAAGATTGAGAATATCTTAGGATTATCTTTTGGGACTTGGGGGTTTTCGATCTTTGAAGCTCCACATACACTTAGACCGCCCACATACACAACACTTACAAACACCAAGATTCACATATAATTCACTGATCGAAATTAAAACCAAATTTAAAATAAAATGAAGGCCCTTGTGACACAAATTTGAGACCCTTTGGCAATGGTCGAGCGATTCATTGCCGAAAGCATTCTGCTAGACTTTGGTCGTTGCCTAGACAAGTACCAGTCAGCATTTTATTTGTCGAATGACCCAATCGGATCGATGAATGTCATTTGTCGCACCGCCCACAAATTGGAGTTAAATTGATCTGTAGTTCATGAAGTTGTCCAGACGACCTTGGATGACGTGAGCGCATCCGGAACTTCGACTTTACCCAGGAAGGAGACTCATTTTGATATATTTTTGTGCACGGACAGATAACACACAAATGAATGTGTATAACTTAAAACATTAAAAAAATAAAATAATTAAAACCTTTATTTAAGCCTCACGCCACTTCTCACAGCATACCCTCATGATGCCCTAGTGCCTCCCATTGGTGAAACAGCTGCGACTCTCCCCTTCTCTTCTCAGAAGCTCTCAGGCTTGCTCAGCTTCCCCTTTTGGGTCGCACCGCCGGCTAGTTCACCGGTGGGAACCGGCGAGGCTCCCCTACTCCTCTCTTCCTCGATGAACCCTTCCTCACGCGTCTCTCTCTCTTTGTGAGAGAAGTGTTTACTAAGGGGGAATTTGAGAGAAAGGATGCAGAGGAGGTAGGCAAAGTCTTGAGGCTTTTCTTGTTTTCTTTCTCTCATTGTTTCGCTCGATGCTTTTTGCTTTGTTACTCTCATTTCACTCGCTCCTTCGATTGGCCTTTCCCTCTCACAATTGGCCACCGCCTGAACTCTATTATTGACATTGCTTCTGACAATGAGTGTGGAGCGTTTGTGAAGAAGAGCTCAAAAAAGATTGCTCCTTTAGTTGTGAGATGGGGAGCAGGGCTGACGTGCAACCTGAAAATGATTCGTAAATCTTAAATTGACTTGAAATTGACCCAATTAGCTCAAAATTATCCGAAATAAACCCAAATAACTATTATTGTTTACCTTAAATGGGTTTTATGGGTCTCGTTTGGGTTGGTAGGTTGAAGAGTCAGGTTTGGGTTGACTTTTTTTACTCGTATAATATTCGGTTAGAGTATTTTTCTAGTCGAACTCAAACCCTACCCACTAAGCCGAATCGACAGCTTTACCTTGGATACCCTAATGGAATAAGCAACAAACTTGACTGAACAATGGTCATCAATACTAGACCTAAAGCGACTTTTGAGGTCCAAACTACTGTTGAATTAAGTCGCACATCAGGAGCAAAAAAAAAGTTAGATTTTTGCATTCCTCTTAATTCTATTAAGAAAGAGAATACCTTAGTGAATGTTACCGTTGCATATGAAAAAGTTAGTTGTGATGTGGATGGGCTTGAAGACAAGATAGATGAAGAAATTTTAAGTTTAACCTCCACTTGGTCATCTGATGAATTAGAATAAGATGGATTCTTGTAGGTTTTATTTTTTACACTATCTATTTTTGTGTTTCCTTCATTAACTTCTATTGTCTCCTACTTTTATTTATATTATTTTATGCTTTTACTTTCGTAAGTTTTCTACTTTCACTTTTGTTATTTTTTCTAATAATTAGTCAGATTAATTTAGTTATTATAGATGACTTCATGTGGCAATGATAACCATGGTCCTCAGAGATCAATTGTCTCCAGTTTCTTCCGAAGGAAGAAGCAGGCGGCTTAATGACCCACCATGTAGATGAGCACAACTGTTACAATCACCACATCGATCACCACAACGGTGCTGATCATTCCTTTCGATTCACCTCCGATTATGTAGACCTACCACACTCCTACAATGCCCATCACATTGCCACATCCATCCTCCAAGGCAAGCCCTTCACTCCTGTCGAGCCTGTTGTGATGGAAATCTCTAGACGGATATAGATTGAGTTGGATAGAGATTCATAAGTAATTTAAATTGTAGTAATTGAAATTCATTTCTACTATATTATGCAGCTAATATTATTTTCTTACAGGTTTTATATTACAACTCGTCCACAAGATCACAGATATCAGTAATAGTAAGTTTGATGCTTTGTATTTATCATGGATGAAGATCCTGATTGAGGTTTGGGATATGTGGTTCGAAGAATGTGAGGTAAAGTTAAATAATTTTGAAATACATTTATAATCTTAAGTTACTCTTTAATAATAATTAATATTGTTTGATATTTATTTTGTAGTATGACTTTAATGGAATGTTATGCATCATTAGCTGAATCAACAGAACTTCGAGACTGAGGCCATAACTAGTTTGAGAAAATTTCACTGAAATCTGCAAGAAGTGGCAGAGTTCTATCTAGATAGACAAGGATTTTTGGATTGAGTTGTCAAAAGCGCGAACCTCTCTTGAGTATTGCGGGACGAGGGAGATGACCCAACAGAATCAGGCTTACCTCAAACTGTAGGGGCATTGGTACCTCCTTACACATAGTGAGGCTCGGGTTCACATACTGAGTACAGGAGGTGGATAGTAAGATGTATTCCTTGCATCAACAGGATTTCTACAATTACATTTTTTTCTAACCTTTATATGTTAACTGAGGTTGACGCTGGGATGAGATCCCACAATTACCATGTTGCATGCCCGCTCATTAGTGTCAGACAAAGTGCCGGTGGGTCGATGACATACTTTGCCATGTCCATGTAAGCTAAACAATTTTTTTTATGAAACTTATTTATAGTTTTATCTCAATGCTAATTACCTTTTATAATCTTCCGTAGGACGAGCATGTGTGCCTGAAGGATTCGCGGAGTTAGAGCCCAGCAATAGTTGGTAGCTATAGTGTTTAACTAACTGCCCAGAGTTGAGACCTGGAGAGAAGCTGTCAAGGGGAAAAATAAGGGGAGGATCTACAGCTTCGGTGCCAAGGAATTTGTTTATGAGGTGCATCTCTCTAATTTTAGCTAGAGGTCATCATTGGTTGATGGCAATGTTTTCAGACATGTGGTCGCACTGACGAAGGAGTTGATTAACAGCTTCGCTACTGAAGTACGTGAGATAGAGTCCAGGATTAATGAGACGGAGCAAGCTATTCATGCCGTGGTTAATAGGATCGAGGCGAGTACTGAGTAAGTGCAGCGTCACACACGTTGTTGTTGCAAATTTTCTTTGGCCAAGGAGGAATAAAATAATTAGTTTCTTTTTCTCTATCTGTGTAGAACTTTGTTTGTATTTCTTTCATTTATTCTACAGGCACTATTGTATTGGAAGATTTGTTGGTATTTGTGGTTATCTTTATTTTGCTTTTATTCATTGACATTCTCTATTTGTTATTTTACAGTGTTATGGGATGGTAACACCACATTGGCTAGGGACCCTTATTTATTTATTTATTTATTTTCTGCTACAATTTAACGGTTAATTAGCGACTGAATTTTCAGTCGCTTGATTATTAGCAGCTGAAAAAAACAATAACTAAATTTGCGGCTAAATAATCAAACCATTATTCAGCTGAAAATTTAGTCTTTGAATTTCTTAGCCGCTAATCAACTGATAACATTCGTCGGTTGAATTCAGCTGATAATGTAGTTAAAAAGACATGATTACCGATGAATTTGTCAGCCCATAATCACTTAATTTGCTGTATTGGCCTACAAATAAAATGCTAAAAATTACAAATGAACATACTATAATTTTTATTTTCTATGAATAAAAATGAATTCAAAAACTCGAGTAGATGACAGAAACGCGGCCCTTCCCCTTCTTTTTGGACTTTTCTCTTTAAAGTGAATCAATGCTTGCTCTATAATTTGGTATTTTCAACGAATATTAATCCAAAAATTAAATTTTACTGCTCATGCAGATGGCAGACGCATGATCATTTCCCCTCCGGGATTTACTATTTACACTTGCATTAGATTGATACGTTGATACTTACCACTCATGCAAGCTTATTAATGATGTTTAGAGTGTCACACATGTAGATGAGATGGTGACTTGATGATTAATCTTATTTTCTGCACCGAAAAATCTCACCGTCTCAATAAAAAATGTCACACATCTCTTCATTCATGACATTTGTAAGGCCATTATTACCTTTTGCAAAATATTTCTATTCCAACGAAACATTGGACATGTCCTCTCCTAAGGTTTAGTTTGAGAAGACGTTGAACCTCCATTGTTGTATACACAAATATCAAATTGTGAAATCATGCCCGTTTCCTAAACTGCCAATCATCGAACAGGCCGGACAGAGCCCTTCTTTTAAGATGTATTTTTCACTGTGTCGACCTACCCAAAGTGATTAGATCACTTTTGATCATTCAAACTGGCCAACCGATAACAGCGTCCAATCATAAATAAATGTATTTGCCAATTTTCAAGATTAAATCCACCATCCGAGGTAAAAGATGTCTGTAACATTGCTGACATCGGACCATGCACCAAGAGGAGGGCGCGTCCTCGTTAAATCCTTCCCATCGGAAAAAAAAAAAACGGGATAAGGTAGGCTAGGGGGGAACTGGGGAAGGACACGTTATTCTAAGGAGGAAGGAGAATAATCTTTATGGGATAAAAGGAGGAAAAATATTCAGGAGGAAGGGGGTGTTCGGAGAAACTACTCCAAAATAATATCTTTCAAGTTTCACAGAAGAATAGGATCACAAGATTTGAGAAAATCAGATCAATAAATTGAAGCACGGAAGCAAAATCAAAACAAATGGAAAAGCAAATGAGAATTTTTTTTGTGGAAAAATCCAAGAATAGCAAAAAAATCACGAAGCCACACCATCACAAATTCACTTTGAAAATCAGATAGTTTTACAAGAACTCACGCAAGTTTCTTCTCCACACTCACACGAAGAAACTTATAGGAAGCTCCACAATCTTCCTTCTTCATTTGACATGAAAAACACACGCCGAGATCCAAGAAATCCTCCTCTCCAACTCTTCTCTCCTTCACTGGGAAGTTGTTGAAGAACACCCAAGGAAGACCCAACACAAGTTTACTCGGCTCGAAATTGGTTTAAAAACCCAGAAAACGAAGTAATTGCACCAGGCACAAAGGCACCCAGACTAGGCGAAAAAGCCGTCTCTCGAGTAAGAGACAAACGCACCCGCAAATATGGGCGCAAAGGGAGCCTACGGGGGAAGGACAAAGGCACCCATTTCTCTGTCTAGTGCCTAAGCATGAGTGCAAAGGCACCCATAAGGAGAGCAAAAGCGCCTCCCTTGTAGGAAGCGCCCAAGGCCAGCGCAAAAGCTTCGGCTTCTCTGTTTGGTTTGGGGGTTGTAGGCTCCACAATCATAACAATCACCCATTTGAAAATTATAGCACCCATCATCAGTGTTTTGTACCTGCACCTCCATCTGAATGACCTTCATAATCATGTGTAGTGATGTGGCTCACCTCCGTTGTGATGTGGCTCACCTCCGGTCTTGACCTTCATGAAACCTAACTGAAGCCAAACATAGCTTCAGTTTCTCAATAGTCACTAACATCATCAACATATTCAAGAATTCTGATCTGTATGTATCTTCTCCAGGAACAACTGTCTATCTTCAAGAAGAGAATGAGTGAAATGATACCTCAGCTGAATGTGTTTCATCCTAGCATGAAAAACAACATTCTTAGCAAGATAAATCACACTCAGATTGTCGTTGTAGAGCTTTTCAATCCCCTACTCCTTGCTCAATTCTGCCATGTAACTTTGTAGAAAAATCATCTCCTTACCAGCATCAGTAATAGTGACATATTCAGCCTCCAGAGTAAAAAGTGCAACATACAATAGTTACTGAAGTCTTTGATGAAGCAACAGTGGTCTACCTGACATTTTGAGTACTCATTATCTAACATAAACTTGTCAAACCTTATGTACCACTGTCTCGACGCCTACTTCAATCTATAGAGGCTCTTCTTCAATATGTAAATTAAACATTCTGTGTCTGGAACCTTGTAACCTTGTGGTTGTACCATGTATATTTCCTCCTCCAAATCTTCATGTAAGAAAGTTAATTTCACATTCATCTGCTTCAGATGTAGATCTTCTACTGCCACCAGACTCAGCACAACCCTCACAATTATCATCTTCACCAATGGGGAGAAGATATATGTATAATCCACTCCTTCCATCTGTTAGAAACCCTTCTGCTGGATCTCCTAACTTTTGTATCTAATGTCTGTGGAACTTCCAGTGCTCCTTTTGGTTGAGCACTTCTTTTTTCATCCTCCTCTTGATCACTAGTATCATCTATCTCTAAACATTTGGATTCTTCAAAAGTTGCTGAAAAAATTTCCCGAGTTCTGACCATGTCCTTGTACATCTCTATCTCGTTGAAAGTGACATCCCTACTCCTAATGAAATTTTATTCTGATAATCCCAGAACTTGTACCCAATCCTCTGAGACACATTCAATAAAGGTGCATTTGACAAATTTTGAGTCTAACTTTCTTTTAGAATTTGCATCAACATGCACATATGTAGAACACCCAAATACTCTTAAATGATTTGACATACCTTTTTATCACTCTAGGCTTCTTCAGGTAAGCCTTCCTCCAAAGTTAATGACAGACTACAATTAGTCAGATAAGTTGTAGTGTTAAATGCTTCAACCCAAAGTTGTTTCGACAAGCCAGCATGCAACCACATGCTTCTAACACACTCCGTCATTATTTTGTTCATACACTCAACAACACTATTTTGTTGAGATATCCTTGGAATAGTGAACTCATGCATGATCCCCTCTATAACATAGAAATTTCTAAACTTCTGATCACGGTATTTACCCTCATTATCTGATCTGAGACACTTCAGCTTCAAGTATATTTCATTTTCTACTACAATCTTCCATTTCTTAAAGACTTCAAATACTTCATATTTCTGCTTTAAGAAAGAAACTAATGCCTTTTCGTGTGATCATCAATGAATGTGAAAAAATAGTGAGAACCTCCAATGGACTGAATTGAAGTAGGATCTCATATATTATTATGCACTAACTTCAATTTCTTTGAATTCATCATTGACCAGCTCTTCGAGAAAGAAATTTTCTTTTGCTTGTCATATATACAATCTTCACAGAAATCCAAATCAACTGATTTCAAACCTTGAAGCTTATTTTTAGAAAGTAGGGACTTTATATCTTTCTCACTCATATGAGCAAGCAAAAGGTGTCACAGGCCTGCATTCACCTTAGTTATAGCCACGTCAATGAAATCAGCCATTTCATTGATCAAATAAAGGGTGCCTTCAATTTTTTTCCCAAGCCATCACTAATGCTGCCTTGGTCACCTTCCTAGATAACCTGTAAAAGTAGTCACATGTCCTGACTTTGTCAGCTGGCTCACGGAGATACGATTTCTCTTCAAACTACGAACATGTTTGACTTTAGTAAGCCTCCAGACTGCTTCATTCAATAACTTGATATCAACATCACACTTTCCTACTATATTACAAGCCTTGTTATCTCCCAAAAAAATCTTTCCTAGATCACCATGAGTGTAGTTTTAAAATACTTTTTTTTTTTGGAAAGCATAAAAAGTCGCACCTAAATCCACTATCCAAGATTCAATACTGCTAGGGAAAGCACCAGAGAGTCATTTTATATTACACCAGTGGAGACATTAGTAGAGAAACTACTTTCATGCCCTCCACCACCATCTTTCCTTAGAGCTTTGCAGTCCTTGAAATGTCCATTTTTACCGTAGCTCTAGCTTTCTCCTCTACTTGACTTGAACTTTCCTTCCTTGGACTTAAATCTACCTTTTTTGTATTCTTGCCCAGATGTCTTCCACTGTTATCAACATTCAATGTAGAACATGAGCATTCATCATTCACTTCTTTTCTACAAACTTCTTCATTCAGCACCAAGCCCACAATTTCATCAAAGTTCAATTTTAAAGTCCCATAAGAATTACTCACTGTATTTACCAAATCATCCCAATTGTCCTGCAACGAAGATAGTATCATCAGTGCTCTGATTTCATAATCAAACATAATCCCCACAGAACACAACTGGCTCGTCACAGTGTTGAAGTTTTTGATGCTCTGACATTGAACTGTCTTCCACAATCTTCATGTTAAATAATTTCTTCATCAGAAAAACCTTATTAGAAACAGAAGGTTTTTTATACATCTTGTCCAGTGCCACCATGAGATACACTATAGTTTCCCCATTCATAATGTTGAACGCAATAGATGATAAAAGTGATTACCTGATCAAACCCAATGTTGTTTGATCTAACATTTCTCATTCCTCAATAGGCGTAGACTCAGGCTTCCTTGTGATTCCTTGTAGTGACAAACACAATTTCTTTT